GGGGGGGGGGGGGGGGAGTAGCTCACAGCCTGGGGGCAAAGAGATGAAATGCTGTTACCTCCTCTTGTGCTTTGGGCACAGCGCAGCTTGTGTGAAAACCCTTGCCACTTCCCATTGGTTTCTGCCAGGCCAGCCTGCTGAAAAGCAGAGCCCAAAGTTAAACATTACCTGGCATGGCCCCCCACAGAGCAGGCTGGTGCCCAGCTTGGAGCGGGCAAAACAACTGAATTGAATGGGTGATTAACTCTTTGTCACTTGCTAAGGAATCTGGCAGGTTTGTGAAGCCAAGTGAGAAGAGACAGGGCCAGGCCCTGAGCTCAGCTGCACCTGTGCAAGTCGACTTCAGCCGGGTTACGCTGGGTTTACACCAATGTGAACAAGTCCCTCTGATCAGTAAGGTCTTCTGAGATCAGAGTTGCATTGTCTTTCCTGGCTTTCCTTCATGCCAGAATCCATGTTAAAATCCCTATTTGTGAGCTGAGTGGGGAAGGGGCCTCTTGTAAGCCAGGAGACCTTGAATACATCCTGTTCCCGTCATCAGTCAGCTCAAGAGCAGTCTCAGTAATACCAAATCTCATGGAAGAAATCACAAGTCCTGATTTTGAAGTCAAATTAACTCTGACTCATAATCTCCTGATAGAGAGATCAAATCTTGGGATCTTTTCTTCTGGCCCTTGTAGAGTACCAAGCTGGTAAGTCTGTGGAGGCGAAGGGGTAGGGGGAGACGGAAGGGGAAGAGTGGGGGGGGGGGCAGATCAAGGCCCCCATGGTGAGGGAGAGGATGGGACAGAGGATGAGGTGAATGGGGCCCTGAGTCCGGGGCGAGTCATGCAACAGAGCTGTGGACAGCCGTCTGTCTGCATGCGTGTATGTGTGCATGTGTGTGTGTGTGTGCGTCTCTGCCTCTCTCTCCCAAGCTACAAAGCCCCCCGAGCCCTGCTGCTGCCCCTCACTCCTGACCCACAGTACCCCTCATCCTGCCACAGCATGTGAGGACCCTCCCTCCTCGGGCTCCAAACCCAACACCCCCCCCGCCACATGCCCTGCACACCTTCACAAATAATTCCCCCACACACACACACACTTCAAAAATAGCATCTTATGATTTACATTCCAAATGTCTTGATTTTTTAGAGTTTGTCTCAGGATTTTTGACACAGTGGGGTTGGCAATACTGCAGTCTCCTTTCCCACAATGCAGTGGGAGAGCTCCTACAGCCAGAAGAATTGGAACAGGTATCAGATAGTGCTGGAAATGTGAATGTAGCACTGCCAAGCACATGAGCTGCCAGGGCTCCATGGGAATCCAGCTTCTCCAGCTGCCTTCGTGCCTCCAAGGTTCTTTGGGTGCCTCCAGATGCTTAATAAACAGCCCATGGAAGAATGACCTTGCCACAGAAAAAGAGGCTGAACAGCTCACAGAAGCCGTTTGTAGACATGCTCACTATTTTCTAAACCATGTTAACTGATTTGCATCACACAGTTCAAATTAAACGTCATTTTGAATTAAGGGTTAATAGACTATCATTGACCGTCACAGGAGGGAGTGCTGGCTATATACAGTCTATATTCTTGACAGCCCCTTAACAGACCCAATTTGCAGCCTCTGTGTGTGCGCTTATGTGTAATTAGGATGCAGACAGAAGTGCAGTTCCTTGCTGTAAGTGACAGTACTTTGCAGGAAACGTTCTCAGTTACAAGGATCCCCTGGACCAAACAGAAGTTCATTGTTGGTTCCAAGGGGGAGGGGAATCCAGCTGCTGCTGCCAGGCTGCAGGCAGCTTCCCTTAGCAATGTCCCCACCTTTCTCCCAGCCTGTCCCCATTTCAGAATCGGAGGAGGGAAAGTAGAGGGAGCTCATTCTGGGGTTCCCAAGTCAGCCCTGGAGGGTGGGGTGGGTGTATTGGAGCCCCCCCACACACACACTTTGGGAGGGGGGGCTCCAATACACCCGCCCCACCCTCCAGCAGGGAGTGAACCCCCCCCGACCCAACTCCCTCTGCTCCCTTGCCCCCTCTCCCATTCTGAAAACAGCAAAAGGCTGGGAGGCAGCACAGATACAAGTTGCAAAAGATGCTCTATTTTGGAAAGTCTTCATCTGAACTCTCATGAAATGAGGGTTCAGATTTTCACCCAATTGGCCATTTTTAAGTGGTCTGCAACTGTGCACTTGTGTTTGGTCGCCAAGTGGCTGGAGTGGGTAAAAATTGTTACTTCTGTCTGCACCCAATAAGCCTATTTAAGCATTGTTACATCACTGCAGACCTATTGACAGTTATTTAAAGTGCTGTTCCAGAAGCCACAATGAATGCAACTAACCTGATGCTGGCACACATGACGTTGTAAAGGGATTACTTTGTGCCTGATAGCCTCTGTTGTGCTGCAAAAACCCAACTGAGTTTTCCTTGTGGGATTTGATATATGCAATGCTTATCTGTTTATCTGAGTTCCTAAGGAGTGTTTTTCCTAAAAGTAATGCCCTATATACATGTTAATTAATACAGTTTAAATTGCCTAATTCGAACTGCCCCTAGTCTGCATTAACTTTTATCCTCATTCAATGAGGTTTAGTTAATTTGGGCTGGAGCCAATATTAATTCATCCTATAGGGCTAAGTACAGTCAAAAAGCTTGAGGCTGAATTGATTCAGTCTTTGTAGGTTAGTTTAAACTGCAAAGATTGAACTAATAAGCCAATGAACAGACATTCACTTTTGATTCAGGAAATGTAGCCACATGCCTGCAATGGCTCAAGCCAGAAGCCAGGGGAGTGCCAGAGCACAACTGTCTGGCACATAGCCAACATGGGCTATGTGTTTGCTTCCTCTTCCTGCTGCCCCCAAGGTCTCTGGGATTTGCAGTCCATAATCACAACAGCAGGGCTCTGCAGGGTCACTCATCACTTCCTCTTCCTGCTTCCAGATGCCTCTGGGATTTGTAATCCACAGTCACAGCCATCAATAAGTTTATCAGGGTAGGGCAGCTCTGTACTCAGGGGTTTAACCCAGGTTTAACCACCCCCCTTCCTGTTCCCAGACCCTGGGTGGGGGGGCAGTGAGCCAGCCAGTGAGGCCAGCAAGCCAGCCCTCACTGCTCCAACTGGGGAGTAGAGGGGTAGGGCCAGCACTGCCCTCTAGAGCAGACAATCCAGCCCAGCCCAGGGATGCAAAAGCTGGGATGCTGTGATTTAACTTGAACCAGTAAGGGGTCTGGGACAGAAGCTTCATAAATTGGTTTGACTTAAATCAGTTAAGTCTGATACTGCATTCAACTAGGTTTATCTTAAACCAGTTTCAGCCATTTTGAAACTGGTTTATGTGCACTGAATTTCTATTCTGTTAAAGGTCTAACCCAGTTTCTGATCACTTGAATCGGTTTGTGTGCAACTTCTGTCCCTAGCCCAAACATCCACATGTATATAGTGATGGCTGTAGTCCAGATTAAACCTAGAAAAATGTAATGTCTATAAATGTCCAGAATATTCCCATGATTACAAGTCTCCCCCATATTCTATTCCCACCCTGCTTTAGGACACTTATGAGCAACAAGTGTGCCCACAGCAGGGCTGTCCAGGGTGAGAGTGGCTGGGGGGATTGTACAACATACCAATTCCAGGCCCGAAGCTGCACACTACGTGGGCTGTGTGCTGTGGGGGCTACATGCTTTGTGGGCTCCACAGGATCCCTGCCACACAGACAACACAGGCCTCTGCCACTGCAGCTATACAGGCAGTGGGCTCAGCAGGCTCCCTCCCACTGGGCTGACCTGCAGGGCACCCATGGGGGGGCTGGAGGAGCGAGGGGGGGGGGTTGGGGGCTCGGGCAGAGCCCCCCATGCAGCGTGGGGCAGAAGAGGGCAACAGGGATCGCCCCCTGCCCAGCAGCACCCGGTGACTGGGGGCTTTTTTTTTTTAAACAAGTGCCAAGAGCTGGGGCAGCCATTGCCAGGCTGGGAGGAGGGTGGGGGCTGGGCAGATTCGGCTGAATCGAATTGAATTACTGTCCTGCAAATTGGCCAAATCTGAATCCAAAGTGAATACTAGCCACTTCACACAGGCCTAATAGAAAGCAAGAAGCTCCGCATGCTTCCTGGCTTCTGGTCTCCAAAGGTTCCTGGAGGCAGCACTCACTGGCTGTGTGCCTTGTCCCCCAGCTCCCACCGTGGGTGGAGTGCCATACAGAAGAGCACCGTGGGATGCCAGAGGACTGCGGAAGGGTGCAGCATTCCAAAATTAAGTTCTTCAAAGGTTTCTGTGAGGAGGCGCACAGCCGACAGGCACCTGAAACCCAGCTGCAGGTGGTTAGTGGTGAATAGTCTGCTTGGCTGGCAGGCTGGGATCCAACTGCAACTGATGACTGGGAAATGATGGGAGAGCATCCATGAGGGTTCAACACTGCAGGATCAGTGTGCAGGGAAGGAGGTTGTGGGAAAAACACAGTGTTTCAGTTACCCCTTCCAAAGACTAAAGGAAAGTATTAGGCTTGGGTTGTTTGCTTGTTCGGTTTACTCTGGGAATGATTTTGCCCTATATAAAATAAACTTGCTGGAAACCCTGAATGCAGGGCAGACTGGCCTGGGTAAGGAAGCTGGGTCAGGGACCTGCTTATGATGCCTCTTAAGGTTGTTTTTGAAACCCTGGTTTGGCTATGCATGTCTGTACCCTAATTGTTCAGTGCTTCAAAAGCACTTGCAGTGTTTTAAACCTGTGTTTCTCAACCTGTGGGTCATGGCCCGAAAATGGGTTGCAAGAATATATGAAAGAATTGCGAACCAACTTTTAAAACTAGATCAACAAATTTTTTAAATTGATTTTCCTGTAAAGGAGAAAAACATGGGGAAACCTGTGGCTTTTCTCTTGCAGCCTGGCACAGTTCTAGCCTGCAAGAGGCTGCTTGGGGTCTCCCATGACTCACATAACCCCCCTCCCCTCCCCACGCACTGTGGGGCTGGGACCTGGGGGCAGCAGATCAGGAGTGAGGAGCACTGGGTCAAGACTGGCTGTCAATGTTTACAGGTGAGTCCTGATACAAAAAGAGGTTGAAAACTACTGTTTTAAACCATGTGACTGCCCATGGCCTGAGTAGTCAGACTTCCAGAAGATCTTGGTAGACTGGGAGTATAGAGGGTGCTAAGCCCTTTAGTGACTCTGACCTAGGGTTGCCAACTCTAACTGAAACTATTCTGGGAGACTGTTTTTCTAAAGTGACACAATATCATTCATTTTACTCTTCAACCCATTCACAATATCAATCTCCCAGCCAATCCTACTGTGGCCCTTTGGCTCTGATGTTCAAAGGTCTGTTGTTTGCAGCTGATCTTGAAACCAGAAAGGGACTTTGGCCTGCCATACAACTTCCAGCCTAACCCACTCCTGGGCAGGTATTTGTATTCGCACTAGAACTCCTCTCAACAAGTTTCCACTTAAGCTGCATTGGGAGGGGGGTGGGTTCTAGTTTGTTTTTATTTCCAAAAGGTATTTGAAACCTTTCACTTGTACCCAGGTACACCCAGGGGGGGCGGTGTGCCCTGTCCTCCAATGACAGTGGTGGTGGTCAGACAAGGTGCTGAGGAAGGGGTCAGCTACTAGAGCGGCTTCCTCCCTTCTCTATAGAGCTAGGCTGAAACCAAATACTTAACTATATACAATTTATTACAAGAATAAATAAAGATGCTTAATATAAAACAGAATATTTACAAGGCTTAACATATAGTGCTATATATAAAATTCCACAGTTCATGTATAATACCAAATATGAACCAAATAACTTACAACCTAGACAAACACAATTAACGCATAGGAATAGTAACTTAACCATAACATTTCTTTAACCCTTCACAAATAACAATACCAATATACACATTGAGATATTAAAACACATAAACCATATAAACCCCCTTAAAGAATACCCCTAGCTATATAGCCCTTAACACAACAACCTCAAAATTGGGAGTGAACTCGGCACCTTCCTGATGGGGTTTCCCTGAAGCCCATCCCCTTTAGGGCCCTGGGATGTGGATGCGCCCCTCCCGCAATGGAGGGTGGAGGCGGCAGACCCTCCTCACCCGTGTCAGCCTCCCCTGTAGGGCCCGCTTCCCCAGTAACTCACACTTCCTCTCTGGAGAATCCAAGGCTCATCCCCTGATGGCTGATCCCACAAGAGCCTCTCCCCAGCGATGCCTTTGGCTCTCCTCGATGGCCCGACACCCTGCACTGGGCACCCAGGGCGCTGTCTCTCTCATGGGAGCCAAGCCCTTGCAGGCTGTGACTCCCTGGTCTCACACCGGGAGTTCTCCCCTTTCCTGGGCCCTGTGCTGGGCACCGGGGCTCTTTTAGTTAAAAGTGGAGCCGCACTGTGGGGCTCTGGTCACTCAGCCTAGAGCCAGGGCTAATATGAGCAGCCATGAGCTGCTTCCAAGGCGGTTCTCCATGTGCCAACCTGCGCACCGGGTGAGGCCCAAGCAGCTGCAAGCTGCTCCTAGGGCCAGCTCTCTGTGTACCGATCTGCC